TTTTCAACACAAACTCTTAAACTGCAAACATCCATGCTACCGTAAGCATGATGACACATGAACATCGCACGAATGATGACATATAGATTTATCTGCAGCTGATTCATGTATGAACTTTGCCACTGACGTTAAATATAAATGTCCACCAAAAAAAACGCAGGTGGCAGGGATGAGAATGAAACGAGAATTTTCTATGTGGTGCTCTTGCAATACTGACTGAGGCTCTTTCATTTTTTTAAAGCAACAATTTGCAGCCCTGTTTTACAAACTGCTGCATGAATAAAGTCGGCCAACAACACACTTTGCAGGGCAAAACAACAGCCACTTTTTAAAGGAAGTGCAGAGAAAGGACTTCTGAAATACAATATGCAGGTGTCATTTTTATATATTCATAAGAGCAAAGCTTTGTTTGCTTTGCTGTGAACTCTCCACACTATATCGTGGCATGTTAAGGTGCTGTATTCCCTGGTTCTGAGAGCATAAAATAGAAAATGATGAATAAGGTCAAGAGAGGGAGTGAGCAAGTGAGTGAAAGGATGTGCAAGAGAGACAGAAAGAGAGGGATACAGACAGACAGAAATATGCACAAAAGATGATGAGAAAGAGTGAGAATGGAGGAGAGTAAAGAGAGAGAAAGAGGGTGGAGACATGGAGAGAAAGATGCAGAGAGAGGGAGAGAGAGGGAGAGGCCTCTAGTAAGTAGCTTTCTCCTGGTTATTGGTTTCAGTGACTGGTCAAAACTATTCTTCTCCATTCTTCTTGTCTCTCTCTTGCCGGCACCTTTTTTTCCCCTCCGTGGCGTGAAAGATAAAGCGGACGGGCCCAACTGTGTGGCTGGCCCTTGTTCACAGCAGTGGCCTTTTGAAGCCAATTTTCCAGCTCACGGAGCAGAGAAAGACAGGGAGAGACGGGTAGAGAGAGAGACGGAGGGACTCGGAGGAGAGTCGAGGGATGAAGGGATGAGGGGTGTTGGGGAGGGAGGCGGGGGGATGGGACTGGGGAAGTTTTAGGTGTGTGAATTAGGGTTAGTGTTGAGGTACTGATGTGAGAAAATGCACAGGCACAGCGGGATTACTAACCAAAATATTCCTCACACCTTAACTGCCATAATTGGTACCACTGAACATAATTGTAGCACAGGGGGAACATTATTCACTGGACCCGAAACTGTGGAAGCAGTGCGGTTTTTACAAAGCAGTGGAGCTTGGGGGTAATTCTGCACTTTGGATTCCACACCCGACCCTTTCATGGTCCACATTATGATTGCAGTGCATTGCTGAAAATGTGCTTTCTACTGTAAATGCTTCAATTCTGCACATTTAGGCAGCAGCTTTTCATGTTTAGAGCTAAAACTTGCCATTTTATACAGTTAATTTAGCTTCTAAAGCGCTCTTATAGTGCTTCAGCAGTTGTGGAGGGGATGAAGTACAGCACAATTTAATTGCTATACAATTACACATTCCTTCTGTACAAATTATTTCAGTTAAGGTAGTCTTTTGTGGACGATCTGTTCAGGTTTTTGCAAAAGAAAAAATCCATGCGGCGCGGTGCTAAAGTCACTAATAATTAAAAGACAAACAGAAATCACACAAATGCAGATCAAACAGCTGCAGAGAAACTGTTTGGTGACAGATAACAGGATCGCGAACGCTTTAAGAAACAAAACAAAAAAGTATGTTTGCAAACACAGACAAACACATACAACCACCAAAAATCAAATATGACTTAAAAAAAGCAAGAAAACATTCATCTGGTGTTTTCTTTTCATTAAGATTATTAAATTCCAGGAAACGGTTTGTGTGTGAGTGTTTGTGTTTGTGGGGGGGTGAGGGGAGGGAAGCATGAAGGAAGGATAATTAAAAATGTTAACTGGATGCATAAAAACGAACTATGTATGTGTTTTTCTCTCCTTCCCACCCTCCACCCCCCTGCATGCCGTGGCTCCACTTATCAGCATGAGGAGGGGGGGGCATACGAATTAAGACCACATAGGGAAAGAAATCAGACTTTTTTAAATGCCGAGAGACTGGCTAGAAAATTGGCTTAGTGCGGCAGATAGCGAACTGAACAAAAGGAACATATATATGAGCTTGAAGTGATTGAAGTAGCTGGCGTCTCCCGATGTGTGCCCGGCGTTTGATTCCCGCCACGGCTCTTACATAAACTGCTCGCTTAATTTCACACCGCGCATCTGAAAAATGACAACAAACGCTTTCATTAGAGCGCGATGCCGCAGCCCCACGAAGAGACTTTAATGTTCTTGAAGCGTGGAGGAAGGAAGGAGGAGAAGGAGGAGAGGAGGATGGGAGGGAGGGGGGGAGGGTTGAAGGAGACAGAGAGAATAAACTAGGTGAAGGAGTGTGATAAATGTGAAGAGCGTTCCAAAAACAAGAAGCGGTAAAAGCAGTGAACAGCATCTGCTTTGCTTATTTCAATATTCATGTAGCCCCCCTAGCTCCCATCCCTCCCTCATTCTCTCCTGCGTGAATTTGTTTTCCTAGCATGCAATTGGTAACGCTCATCTTTCCTCCCTCTCGCAGACTCTCTCCCTTCTCTCTCTGGTGTGGTGAAATATTTTGCATATGTTTACCGAGGAACATGGTATGAGGAGTAGAGTTAAGCCCAGTTGGGTAATTTGGGATCTTTCATCTGCTTTTGGCACAAGGACAATCCCACGTTGACATAGAATCGGGTCACGGGTAGGGTTTTGCCAGAGGCCATGGGGCTGTGTGTCTAAGACTTGTGTGTGTGTAAGAGAAGGAGAGACAGAGAGTGTGTGGATGTGTAGGCGTTCTCCTTCACGCTGTACCACAGCTTAGCTTCTCCTGCTTATTTCATATGGTGATGCATGGAGGTGCAACACAGAGGTGCCACCCTTGAGGTGACTAACACACCGTCCCCAATCCCATCCACGACAACACAGGTCTCCACTCAAAACAGCGGCTTTGTTGCTTTTTTCACTATGTGGCCTCACTCTGTGTGTGTGTGTGTGTGTGTGTGTGTGTGTGTGAGCACCTGAGTGTGTGTAAAACAAAAAATTTAAAAATTAAAAATAAACAGCTGGAGTTCTGATTTGTTCACAGAGTTTAAGACTTCACACAGTGCTGAAAAGGGTATTGAAAAACCTTAAGAGTCAAGAATTTTTGTCATGGTAATTTTATGTTTTGCTCTGTCTTATTTCCTCACTTGTTTTCTGTATTTAGTCACTACAATTATTAGCTAGATTTAGTTAAAAGGACACTTCACATGCAAAATGACAATGTGTTTATCAATTGCTCACCACGTGTTACATTGAATTCACGCAGGAAACTTTCTTGCATGCCTCCATGGTGAATGGAATTAAAAAAAGGTGAACGTTCTTCATGTACTGAAGTCACTGGGGACCACAATTAACAGCAAGTCGTATGGTCAATACTTCCCTGAACATGCGGTGAGTATATGATATACAAATGGTCGATTTATGGGTGAAGTATCCCTTTAAGCTTGTTCTCTCTGGCTGATGTAAAAAAGCTTGATTTAATTTGAAAGAGCCAGTGAGCAGGATCTTCGGTGTCTCCTACGAAAACAGTAACAGTATACCTCCTGTGGACTTCATATTATCAAGGCTGCAGAAAGCGCAACAAGCAGATGAATCACCATTCATCTGCTTGTTATTTTCTGCAGCCAAAGAATAAAGTGTTACCACAGTATGTATCACTTCATGCATTGTTTTGTTGAATCTGCGCAAAAAATTCCCAAATTAGCCAAAATTAAGGTATGACAGGTTCAGGGCCCTGACACACCAAGCCGACGGTCAGCCTGCAGTCAATGTCGGGCCATCGATGAGTGTCTGTTGCCTTAGTTTTTGTGGCGTGTCCCGTACCATTGACACTAGTCGGCCATGGTAGGCTGAACCCATTGGTGAATGAAATCACTCTGATTGGCAGTTCAAAACAAACGACAAAGGTCAAGATGGTGTGAGATCGAAACAAATTTGTTATATTAGGTAAGATCATGTCTTTAGGCACTGTACTCTTTTGCAGAGACAGTTCATAATTGTTTGTGTTACTGTTTGCTTGTGCACGGTAAAAATTATTTGTTCTTTCAACATCGGGTTGTGTTATTCATGTGGTTAACTAGCTTCTTGAATTCATCCTGTCGGCCTCCTGGTTTCCCTTTTTAATGACGAATACAGAGTACCGCCACCTGCTGGTTTGGAGAGTTATTCTTAGTCGTGTCACGCAGGTGCAGAACATATATGCTAGTTGGTCGCTGGCTGTGGTCCTTGCAGTGTGTTGAAGTGCAACTTCTTAGCCAAGATATAGGCAACGTGAGGCAACGCAACTATCAGCCTTCATCACCACTGATTCTTTAATGTTGGTTTTACATTATCCGGGCCTTAAGGCCACAATAATGGCATGAAGTGAAGTCAAGACACATTTCAAGGATTCCTAGTTAAATACATTCTTTCACCTATCTGATTTGTGTCACTTTTTTCAGGCCTGTGTTGTTGTGGCAGCAGGCGAAACGAACATGTGCTGATCCTGGGACAGCTGAAGGTGGGATATGTAACCCTTACAGCATGTTCTAGGTCTGTCCTGGGGTCTCCTTCCAAATGGTACTGCCCAAAGTACCTCCATATGAGGCATCCTGATCAGACGACTTTTAATGTGAAGAAGCAATGGTTCTAGTCCAAGCTCCTTCTGGATGTCTGAGATCTTATGGTTTCAAATATGTTGTAGATCGAGAGATTTCCCTTCAGCCCCAGTTTCCCTGGTGATTTCACACTCCATCTTATACTCACCTGTGAGTGTATAATTGAATTCCCTCACAAATGGCTACAGCTTGTTGCAACGGCCGCCACCTCATAACCTCATTAGACTCTACCGGCACCCCTCCAGCATGCTTGCACAGGTAAAAGGTTGGACCGTTGTTTCAATCCCAGGCCCAAGAGGTTACTATCTGAACTGGCAACTTCTTTCTTGCTCTTTGTGTTTGTGTGTGTGTGTGTGTGTGTGTACCTTTAGGCCTTCAGCAGGTGAGCAGCTAAGCAGGACCACATTGTTCCTATGTGTGCTTGTGGGCGTCCAGGGCCACAGCTCCTCACCGGACTCCTCCAAGTCCCACCAGCAGAGCGCCACATCCTGGAGACGGTTGAGATACACACGTTTGTGGAGCTTAGGACCCCGCCCACTCGCCTCCACACACACCACCTGGACATGGAAACACAAAAGTGGAGTATTCATTGAGAAGAGAGTCAGAATGGGCAGTACAGTGAGAGGACAGGCACAGTATAGTAAAACAAACACAACCACTGACTTAAAACATATCTTATGAAGACGGGGAAGTTATCAGAGTATCTCAGTGATTTGGATTTACGTTCCTGGCTGGTGTAAACACCTGAGGGCTCTGAAACTTTTACATCTGCAGTCCCAAAAATCACTCATGTCCTTCCCCCATCCTGTTTTTGTTGATGTCTAAGGTTGTTTTTTATCTTCCATTATTAATGTGTGTGTGTTTTGTTCTGTCGGGCTCGTTGTTTTAGTGATGTGCATATTTTTGGGAAGGTCCGCCACGCTCTACGGGCCACAACAAAGAGACGCACAGTAATGAGCTCTCGTGGCGCTTTGGGGTGGGGGCACACACACTCACGCAGAAACACACACACATACATAAATGCATGCATGTATGCACACAAATACACATGTACATACATGTAGAGGCACTGGTATGAAAAGTGTATACAAGCACACACTTTAACAGACACACACACACACACCCATACACACACACCCACACACACCATTAAACAAACAGTGCACTATCCAGGAGCACTTTTAAAGCAGGTGAAATTGCAGGTCTTACACTGTGACCCTGCCTTTCATGTACACCACAGCTCATTTCTTCTACGCACGTACACACACGTACACACGCGCACACACACACCCTCATATACAGGCCTTTCATGCACTCTTTATCTCCAGTCACACTCACTAACACAATGAATCAGCTACCAGAGTCAATGGCTAACACGCACACATTAGCACACGCACATCCATCCACTCACACACACCACGTCTATGACTTGTGTCACAGTGTAGAGGAGCAGTGAGGACCTGACAGAGGGGCATGTCGTTAAAGCAGAGATGCAGCGGTGTCATAGGAAATCCATATGAAAAAATAACAACGTACCCCTCTGTACAAAAAAATGGTTTAAAGCACTGAAACATGCAGAAATTAGTAAATCGACAAGCTGGAGGTTCAGTGGTCCATGTCTGCCCTTCTTGCCCCCTTGGGTGGGGGGGTGGGGAGGATTTGCCTTGGACACAAAATACAGAGATGAATTAAAATGATGGAAGTACATCTGATGATAAAGGGAACAAAGAGTAGCCCCAAACAGCTGAACGGGAGATCACTGACAGATTAGAAATGGAAAAGAAGAAAAAAAAAATCTGAAAATCACTGGGTTAATAACACACTATCTGTACCCCCCCTCTGCCCCCTCCATCCCACCATCCCTACCCATCTCTTCCCTCCTCTAGTTTTTTTTTCTCTGCTGGCGTTTGCTGGTCAGCAATAATCAAAAACCACTTTCTGTGGGCCGGATTAGTTTAGCCCCCCCTCAACGCCCCCCACTCTCCCTTCTCCAGCTTAGCCCACTGGACCAGGGCGATGTGTATGTGTGTGTGTGGATGTGTGTTTGTTGTGGGGGATGGGGAGTCGGGTGTGCACGTGTGCACACGTGTGTGTGTCGCAGGTTGCATGCACATGCATTGACAGAGGTGTGGGGTGTACAATATGGGGTGGTGGGGGTGTCTTATCAGGACTCCGCTTCTGGAGACAGACGCACGGCGGCAACGATTGCTTTTATACACACCAACATGCATGCGCACACACACCCACACACACCTTAACAAAAGGGCCTGGCAGTAATGTGATAATGCCAGGGTTAGCGGTTAGCCAGCTAGTGAAGGAGGACACAGTGTAGGTTTGTTTTGGGGGAGGGAAGAACGGGACGGCACATAATCAGACCTGTTACTAACACCTACACAAACACCTTCAGATCAGACTGCCTCTCAATACACACCTTTATGAGAGATTAATAGACAGAAACGGCAAAGACATAGAGAGCTAGAGGTATATCTAAACCACAGATGCCACATATGGCTATTATACTGAACATAAACTATGGATTCTGTGCACCTGTTGTGCTAAAAAAAAACAGGTATTGGGCAAACATTGATCATTTACAAACTGTATAAGGCCAAATGGATAGAATATATGGATATCAAAAGTCCATAAAGAAATAGTACCTATAGATACTGATAGTGGGTAGTTAACTGTTAACTGCCAAACAAGCCATTAATATCCACACTTATTTTAGGGATGTGTGTCCTTGGCATATCAGGAATCGTTCATCTTCTCTACTTTTCACTTGGTGTATGTATTGCTGCTGACCCAAAGGTGTGCCTCCTCGAATCTGGTGCTATTTGGACACGTAAAACTTTGAATAAAGAAGCCAACAACGCTCTGTGGCTCTGCAGCAGCGGACGGGGCATCAGGGCTCTCAAGTAGCCGCGATCTTTGGTGTATTTCTTATCCATATTAAGTTATAACAAGGAGTGAAAGGAGGCAGGTACTAACTGGTACTTCTTGCCACTAACAGATTAAGTGGCAGTGTGCAGTACCAGGAGGAGGGGACAGCAGCTGCCTGACTAAAGCAGTTTGGTAAAGTTGAGAAGATTAATACAAATTCGAACTTCCCAAATCAATAACTCATAAGTAAAACACAGACTTTTCTTTCCAACTGAGACAATGAGCTACATTTAATCAAAATGAGCCGTTCTCCAAGCTGGACAGATAACATGGTCCTCTGAGCGGAGCTGTCTGTGAGACAAGTGTGCAGGAACCATGCAACACCCAAAAGAGAAAACACAAAACTATTCAGTAACTTCACTCTTATAAAGTGTGGTGTTCCCACAATCACTTCACACATCAGTGGTCTCCTGTTGGTTATACTATGACAATTAGTGTGGCAACATGTGCTTTTGCATGATTTTGGGGAATTTCATTGGAAAAATATTCAATAAATTCACTCCTATACAGTGTGGTGCCCCCACACATTCAATAGCTTTACTCAACAAACTGATGTTGCTGAATTTTGTTGTAATAATCTTCTAATTTAAAACAAGACAAATAAATTAAATCATTTGCATACATGATGTCCAGTGTGTCTAATTTCTTTCTATGCCATACAAGCATTAAAAAATTGAATACAAGTATTTAAGAATGCAGGTGGCAGGAGGAGAACAATATGAAGTGAAGAAGGTGCAATGTGCTTAAATTTACTTAACGTCTGTTTAAGGTGGAGCTTTCAGTTCTAATATAATGCTCTATAGTTTAATGAATAAAAATGTGTCATATTTTAATTATTTTTTGTGAGTAAAATCTAAATTAGCGGTGTAACTAGTAACATTGCTCTGTCAGATAAATGTATTAGAAGGAAAAGAATGTTTTCCTCCTAAGTAGAAGTACACTGAAGTAAGTAGTATTCCCTTGCATTGCATTCTTTTAAGGTGCTTTGGGGCCCTAAAGTTTTTTTGGGGTACAGCAAGTAAAATAGCAACATTATTAAATATTTTTCATATCTAAACATCATCATAAATCTATAGCTGTTTGGCGTTAAGGTGTGTTTCTCGGCAACCAAAGAAGTGCACTGCTCAGTGTGAAGTTGTTAAGGTGAGCGGTTCTGGAAAAAGCTGCAGGCAGCAATACCATAAGCTGAGCAGCATCAGCCTGTTCTGAACAGGCATGTTTTAAACTGGCACTGTACTAGTACGATAAATGTGAGAAAAGTGACATATCTAAAGTCCTCCTTTACCATGAACGTACAAGTAATGCTGGTTACTATGGGAGGTAGTAACACGCCAAAATTATTTCTGTATAAACAGGACAGCCAGCAGGACGACACCATGGACAGGACAGGTTTGACATTTTGACGACGAGTAAGGCAGCTAGGAGCTCTTAGTGGCTAACTCAAAGAAGAACAGCGGCCGAAAATGTACACAAATTGGGAAAACAATGAGGTTCAGGAGCTCCTTACCGTCTGAGTAGAGAATGAGATTAGGTGCCATATAATAGAGATGGTAAATGGTTGTAATTGCAATGTTAATGCCACTGTATATGTCAAAATAGGGGCTGACACTGTTGTGTAAAACGTCACGCCTCTTTGGTTTTGTGATGCCCAGATGCTATTTAAAATCACACACTGGAGCGGACTTATGATGCTATCATTTGGGTTTGTGTAAAAATGCGAAGGAGGCATAAAGAAGGGACTTAGTAGTGGCCCTATAGCGTGATCTCTGTGTAAAAAGGACTCAGGTTTCAAAGGTTTAGTATGTTTGGGATTTTTGGTTTTTCTATAGAAAGTAACCATGTTCTGCCTTTTATATTATGTTTCAAATATATTTTCTCTGTATGCCACCTACTGAAAGGACATGTGACTGAATCGTACTGTGTTTTCTTTTTTTGTTTGTTTGTTTCCAGGTTACACTTGAACGGATTAAATGTGAAATAAATACAAAAAAATCATTTTGGAAATGTCATTCTTCAGGTAAGATTAAGAAGGGAATTGGATGGTGATACATGATGACATGTTAACACCTTTCATTTTTGTCACTGCTTTCTCCTTTTGACTGCCGTTTTTTTCACTACCACCAGCCGTAATGCACACACAAATGCTCAGGCCCACACACATTTCTCATGCTCACTTCATCAATGTGTTCCACTGTACCTTGATTTCAGAGGGGGAGAGTTTGTCTGTTCGCCTGCCAGTCTCTGGGGAGTCTTGGTTCTTCTGGTTGAGGTAGACTGCAGCCACTTGGCTCTGCTCCAGGAGGGACAGCAGAATCAGCCGATCGCTCAGCACCGCTGGGAATGACATCACCACAAATGTCACTGGTTGTCATGATTCAAAACAAACAACTGTGTATCACTGAGGTGACAAACAGCCATAAATCGGGACAAAAAATGTCAATATATACACTGATTACTGCGCAGTCTGGACTGCCATCTGTCTATTTACAGTAAAACATGATGCCTTGAAATAAGATACATTAAAATAGAAGTTAGTATACATGGACATTTCCATTTTTTGAAAGCCTAATAACTTCCAGGAACAGAAATCAGGGGAAGACAGCCTGTGGCAGAGTCACGTGTGGCTCTTTCACCCCTCTCCAGTGGCCCCCTGTGGCTTTGGCAATTAATTATATAGTAATTAATCAATTTTTTTTAGCATTTTCATTTACACTGTCATAGGCCTTGAGGGATTTTTACATTGTCCAATGTAAAAATGTGTAGCCTATTCACAGATTAAAGAAAGTTTTTACATTTCATCATCTAAATGTGCGTCATATGACCTATCACCTTTTACTTTAAAATTGCCGAACCTCAGTAGCGATAGCTTGTGTTGGATCTCCCTCGCTAAGCTAGCTATGGGTTCCAGGTTGAAAAAAGTCTTAGAGGACAGTAGAGAATTTAACAGTGCATGGATATATTTGTTTGCTTTTACCGCCAACCCTCCAAAGTTTAGGTAAAAAACTATCATACATAGCCCACTGCGGAGTGTAGCCACCTTGTGGTAAAACATATCAATAAAGGCTCATTTATTCGTAATGTTAATTGGCAAATTTAGACTTCACCTTCATTATGCTCAAAAGTTTTGCAGCCCAATACAGAATATTCAAGAGCTTGTTTGGCCAAAAATGGCTCTTTTGATAGTCAACGTTGCAGACCCCTGACATAAAGACAGGAGCTCCATCAAAAGGACAGACATAACACACCTAGCAGTTGGATATTTTCCACCAAACATACACTGACATTTTTCTCTTACATTGGTATTGACAGGCCAATTTTACAACAACCTCCTTAGTAAATTTATAGACTTTCTGGATTAACAATCTCAGAAGCTTACATCTGAGGGAAATGAAATGATGAATATTTTAGCATTTTATAGTTGTTTTTACAGTTATTTAATAAAGGATTTATAGACTTTAACTGCCTTGGTTTTAAAAACCTGTCCTCATTTTTGTATCAGAAGTTTGCAACTGTGATTTTAATATGTGCTTTTAATTTGAAGTTTCTGTGCTGGGGGTGCAGAATTCTTTGGAGGCTGGTTATCTATGTGTCTTTCGTCATTTTTCATAGTTCTTAGAGCCCCCCTTTTGATGTATTCGTACTGTAAGAACTAGAGCAATCATAGTTCTTAGAGTGCCATTTTGAGGGACGTTTTTAGCTTCTGTTTCAGAGTAGGTACTCTCCCAGCAAAAGAAGAGCCACGAGTGACATAAGTGTACGTTGACTGGACAAACTCAGCCAATGAAGCTTTGACGACTGCCATTTTTAAAAACTGTTAGCCATGTAAACAACAGACAACACAAGACACAAACAGCTTGTAACAAAAAATGGAAGAAGACAACAAATGAATTGACGATGAAGCAATGATGGGAATACAACGCAATTTTGACTCATTAAGGTGAAAGTGGCGTTGCTAAACCAACCGCCTTCTGGCTTGCAGATCATCACTTCAGTGTTTCTATTGGTGGTGTGAATGCAAACAGAAAACCAGCCCTCAGAAGTGTGTAGTTTCTTGGGGGAGCTTTCAAGCGGGCAGTTCCTCTCAGGGAGTCCTCAAAATGGTTTGGTCCAAAAACACTTTATAACTCTTGATGGTCAAGTTTGTTACATGTTCTTTTCTATGTTTCCACTTCTTTATTATGTTTGAGTTCTGATTAGTTTGGAGTGGGAGGACAGAAGTTTCCGCCTCTCCTGATTCCCTCTCCTCTCCCTTACTTCTTCCTCCCTACTCTTTCACTTTCACCTAATTTCCTCCTCTCCTCACCTTCCTGCATCCTCTCTTCTCTCCTTCCCACTGCCTCCCGTACTCTTTGTATCTCTTTCCTCCCCTGTTCTCGGCTCTCTTCCCCTGTCAGTGTACTGCAGGCTCTAAAGGCCTTTTTGTGGTAGAAGAACACACTTGATCCTGTTCAACTCTTCAGGAGCTGCATGGAAACGCTGATTAGCAATTAAGCCCCCCTCTCCTTCAAATTAATCTGTTTATGAAACCAATTAAATGGAAAGGAGGGGGGTTGTTACACATGTCTCTCAGATATCCTGCTTTGAGTTGAGCGAGTAAGGCTGCACCCCGAGATTTAGAAATCTAACCGCCAATTAACCATGGCATGTGTGTATTTATAAACGTGCGGGTATTGGTATGATTACACTTCAAATCATCCTGTTGTGTGAAAATTTCAAATTAATATGCAAATATTCAAGAGGGAAGGGAAACATTGCTCGGAAATACAGGGAAAACTAGCATCTTAAATCAGGTCAATTGAGTCAGTCTGTCCTTATGTTGAAGTTGGATTATAAAGCATTTGTAATGAAAACTGGTGCAAGGCTTAAACCATCGCAAAATACAGCCATTAATGATGCCTTGGCTTTCTGAAACAGCATTTAATGCAATAGTAAGCGTCTTTGTAATAGATTACAGACAAATCAAGTTAAATGCAGTTTAGTATTGATCTCTATGGGTGTCTATAAACGGGATTAGGTTTAATCCCATTCATTCCCAAATGAAGAGGGGGATATGAAACCAGGCTGCAGCCCAATCTGGGACCAGGTGGCTGATTTGGCATTAAGAGCCAGACCTTCATGACCCACCCCGACACACCCAGGCATGCACGCGCACACACACACACACTTATATATACATGTACACATTCATACTTACCCTTTAGACGCATACACACATGCAGATAGCTGCATGTACATTTATACTTGCAAGCCTGCAACCAATTTTGTATGCAGTCTCAGTTAATCACACCAACACACATTCACACTCACAGCCATATAAAACAAACCTACAACATGTTAAAGCATGCACACAGCCTCATACACACACACACACACACACACACTCACACACACACACACACACTCCGCTAAATCCATTTAATGCCATCTCCTCAGCAGCATGTTGACATAAGAGGCCAATGGGCTTAACCAAAGCACATTTAAACACGGGTAAATGAAACCGGCTATGAAAAATCACTTAAGGATGCTTAATCGTGGAGCATATGCGCAGCTTGGCCCAGCCATCGGCCAAAGGAAGCCGGTAATACTTTGATGGTGTAAAATATGTGTAATCTACTGCTCTGTATGATGCAATCACAGCTCATGGTGGAAACAGGAAGGTAACCAGCACTGAGCATACAAAGTTTACGAGCGGAAGGTAAGCCAGCTTTGTCACATCGTGAAACAAAAAAACAGATTTGGATGCGGCTGCTCGTTGTCTCAGAGAGACAAATACGCAGCAGGCCTCACATTCAGACGGATCCATGCAAATCAGAAAGAGGATTTTTCTCAGCATTCAGCTACTGTAACCTTTTTGCTTTAGAAAGTTGTCAAATCCTGTTCCGAAAATGTAAATGAATTCTCTGTCATTGTACAGTGACTTACTGTTTTTATTTAAGATTTGGCTCGAGCTGAAACGAACAGTCAATTAATCGGAGAAAATTGAACAGAAACTATTTTTATAATTTAGCAATTATTTTGGTCACTTTTCAAGCAACGATGTCAAATACTTGCTGGTTTCAGCCTCTCAGATATGAGGTTTCAATGAGAAATGATAATAAATTCAATATTTCTTTTGGTTTTGGACTGTTTGTCAGATAAAACAAACAGTTTGATGACTTCACTTTGACTGCTGTAAAGTTATGAAGTGCGTTTTTCACTACTTTGTTCTATTTCATAGACTACCTCATGAAAATAACCTTTATGCCATCGCAACATATCGTGACGTGATGTTTCGTTTTACCTTCCTGCCGTCGGACTGTTTGCTTTTCCTTTGCCATCCAGAAGCTGTTTTATGTTTGCCGTCTACTGTCTGCCTGATTTCATGTGAACGCAGCATTAGTTACAGCCCGTTGCAAAATTTGACTTTTTAAAAATTGACCTGACATTGCAGCGACTGAATAAACAAATGCATACAGACAACAATAAGACAAACCTACTTAGTGTATGTCAACACCACACACACACACACACACACACACACACACACACACACACACACAGCACACACAAGTCACTTGATCGTAATTGTAAACTGTTTCAGTAATTGTAAGGTTGTGAATGTGTTCGACAGCGTGATCTGGTCTGGCTCTCTACTCTAATTGTCTCAGGCTAATTTAACAAGTGACAGATGTGAGAACAGCCTCTAACCTACTACACCACCCACACACACACACACCCACACCCACACCCACACCCACACACACACACAATCCCCGGAACTCACCCTCTCAAAACCATTACTCTAATAATTAGTGCCTCTGAGGCTTTGAATGGAGCGCAGTGGGAGGTGAGTGAGTGTACGTGTACCTGGTTGTGTGTGTGTGTGTGTGTGTGTGTGTGTGTGTATGTGTGTGCCTCAGTACTGTGTACGTGGGCGTGTGCATGCGTGTTCTCTGTGTGCCTGTAAATGTGAGTGGACATACAGTAAGTGCTTGTTGGTCTATATAAAAGAAAAGTCTGTAATTGCATATGTATGCATGTGAGAACGTGTGTGTGTGTGTGTTTGTGTGTGTGTGTGTACTATGGGGGCTTTATCAGGTGTCTGGAGACCCTGGACGGAAGCAGGGAGGGTGGTGTTATGAACAAATAATTGATACAGAAAGAAAGAAATAATTAGCAGATTTGGGCCGGTGTCCACGGTCCCTTATTCTCTCCTGCCAGGTCTGCAGAGCGAGGGAGCACAGTGTGAGGGGGGGCGGTACTCCCTGGAGGAACGCGCGATGGAGGGAAAAACACTGATGGATGCTCTTAAGGGAAGGCCCCTGGACACACACAGCACAAAAGGATTTGCCCGCAATTAGCTGGCAGAGTCGTCTCGCTCACCTGTGGCACCTGTTATGTGTGTGAGTTGCCTAGTGTGTGTGAGAGTGTGTTTGCGTGACAAAGTGGTGAGGAGAGTGGGGGGAGAGTGTGTGTGTGTGTGTGTGTGTGTGTGTGTGTGTGTGTGTGTGTGTGTGTGTGTGTGGTGAGCAGGTGTAAACACACAATCGGTGCAGACAGAGTGAGAGAAAGTGCGGGGTTGATGGTTTTGTGGTTTTAAAACACTAAACATTTGAATGCAAATGTCCCTGTGCTTGGTTCTGTGTGTGTGTGTGTGTGTGTGTGTGTGTGTGTGTGTGTGTGTGTGTGTGTGTGTGTCTATGTGTGTGCGGCTGTGGGCAGAGATAGGTGGCCCAGCCATGTGGTGGAAACAATGATGTTTGTGTCCCTAAATCTGCTTAAACCACGGTGAACCTCTGGAATATTTAAGCCATACATAAACCATAATGTCATTCAGTGAATGCAAACATCACTACAATACAGGAGAAAGAATTCTTTACTGCCATAACAGGCATGATGGTTATGCAGCAGCTCTGATTAGCATCAGTGGCACCAAACTAACCAAAATCACAGTCAAAAATGTCTTAAGCCTTCAAAGCACTAATCCCGCATTGGTACCCAAAGAGTAAAAAACCTTCTTTCGTAGAAATAAACACATATAATGTACATTGTACACCAAAGACTAAAACACAAGCTTCCTGAAGCCTGGACCAACCAAACTGATCGAGCCAGGGTGTAAATGACATGTTTCATCATGATATGATATGATATGATATTGATTCTCTGAATGATGATACAACACCTGCTGACAACACAACGTCTGCCACGATACAATTTTAATTGGAGTAAATAATTCGAGTAAATCAGTAGGTGCCTTCATTGTCTTTTTCTTGGCTGTGTGACGCTAGTCCACCAACACTGTTTCACTGTTTAGAAAGGAGGTGTGTTTGGACGGAAATGGTGACACAGACGTGCCATGGGAATTTCAACATAAAGTTGTATCCTAAAGATAACGATACATATCAATGCTTTTACTCTGCATCGATTACGTTGGATCACTGATTACTGAATTGATATATCAATCCAGATGGATGTAATTTTACACCCCTAATTTCTGATGAAACTTTGGAAATATGTCCTTACTGCTTCTATGGCTTTTTAAAATTGTATGTACTTTTATATTGCTCAAGTTTTAGCACTGAATCACACTTTTGATGATCATCATATTCTTAAATTCTTAATGTTAAAATCATTTCTTGTGATGTGTTAAAAGAAGTCTTTTAAACTGTATGCCGTTGTTTTCCTTTTTGTTTGTTTTTTGTGCTTTGTTGTATTTTAGGTAGCCTTGTGTAACATCTTGTCCGAGTGACTACAGATGAAAAATAGCCTTTTGGCTAATTCTGGCACTTTTATACCATGTGTATTTAATAATTTGCACTGTCCCTTCTCACCTAAACTAAACTAAACTAAGTCATTGTTATTTTACCATGTGTGAGTGCCTGTAACTCACCATCAGTGACGGTGCTAGCTGGTATTCGACCCACTAATGTGCGGTCTATGTACACTTGTTCGAGCTGAGGTCCATTTAGGGTCAAGGTCACCAGTATTCCACTGCTCAGCAACACCTACAGGTACCACACACACACATACATACAACAAAACAAAAATTTAACAAGATTACAGTTAACAGAGATGAAGCTGTTCAAACCTGGAAAGAAAGAAGAAGCATACGTCATATTAATATAAAGTAAATTAATGAAACTGTTTGAGGGTTTATCAAGTTGGCATTGCTCACTGATCTTGACTTAAGCCAAAAACTCCTCGAGTAAACAAGGGTTTAAAGGCACAAAGACATTCGTCAAAGCTAAAGGTTCCCAGTCCTTCAAAATGCATTACTACAAAATATAAAAAGGCATCTGTGGGTTTATTTGACTGTGGATGGTCAAAAGCGTCACATAATATTGGCACATGGGATTTCCCTGCTATAATTCTTGTCATTTTGGTCTCTTTTGTACACATGACATCTGGTACTCTTCCAGAGGTTTCTTGTATTTTCCCTTTGAAAGTCTTTTTAAAGAGAGTTTTCCTTTGGCAATTTGATGGGCAAAGGATAGTTGTATGCTGTCCATACTGAATTTGCCTCAAGCTCTCTGACACAAATTTGTTTTGATATTGGGCTGTATAAATAATAACAAATTGACTTCATTTAGCTTGACTTTGACATAAAAACAAGGTTTAACATCTAAGAAACTATCAAGGTTCTAAAACTCATTTGGTTAAAGATATGAAGAGGATGAAATATGAAGCATATGAATACACTGATTTCAAACGCTATATATGTCCAAATACAAAGGCTTGTTTTTACCCTGACAAGCAACATGAGAATAAGCCTTAGGGGATCAAAACGTGTCACATCACAAATATGGTGACATACTTTGAGATGTTCCCTGTTAGCTTGTAATGACTGGCGACTGGTATTACAGTCCACTGAAGCTCTTTATCTGAGGCCTGGTCTGGGCGGACCATGGGAGGTTCACTTGGCTTCTGCCACTCTCTGAAGCTGAAAAGAGTGTGTGCGTGTTAGTGTGCATGCGTATACAGTGGGTGGTGGGCTGAGGAGGGTGTGTACCTGGCAGCAATGTTTGTTCCTCCATCTGGTGTGAACGCAGGTGTTGGTCTGCAACAGTTCCTGAATGAGCATAACAGAAAAACAGGGAAAGACAGAGACGTTGAGGAAAAACAGGACAAACAGAAGCAAACTCGAGTCCAAGCATCCAATGCAACTAGTCACCACAGCAACACAAACCTGATGCTGAGAGCAACACTGAATTTGGTTTAAACAGGTAGTTAAGGTTTTTGGAAACAAATGGAAATTTGTATCTTTTAATGTTGGGGAAAAACAGACATCTGGTTGCCACTGTTGTTGTGAAACAGTGAACTTTGGTTTATTCAATAAGTTTCCATCTTTTTTTAATGCCAGTGTCGCTCATACTTGTATTAATTATCTTGGTGGTACACAGTACGGACACTTGTCACCACAGGTGGCTGCTGCTGCAGTTCCTGTTCATGGAGGGTTGGGAGAGAGTTGAAAGAGGATGCAGGTAAGGACTGCTTGTGTGCATGTGTGTGTGTGTGTGTGTGTGTGTGTGTGTAAGGTCAGTCATTCCTGCCACATTCCAAACCCAGCTGGGGTGATTGGATGGGAGGAGAGAGGGACGGAGAAGGAGGAGGAGGAGGAGGAGGTGGGGTGTGGAGGTGAGCTGGGGTGTTTCTAGTTTCAGACAATGGTTACGGGTGAGAGGAGGAGGGAGGTGGATGGGTGGGGAGTGTGCGTGTGTGTAACAGCCACAGACAGGTTCCAGCAAACAAAGCTAGGTCTGTGCTGCCACAAGTACAGAGGGGACGAGTAGGGGGGTGGAGGAAGAGGGGGATGAATGGGGGGAGAGGAAGGGAAGGAGGAGGAAGAGAAGGAGGGAGGAAGAGGAGGGATAAGGGGGCAGCCTGCAGCCCCCTGATCCCCTCAAATATCCCCCTCGATGACAGAGCCCGGCCGAAAGAGAGGTGATGAGAGAGGAGAGGGAGAGAGGAGAACAAACGGGAATGACAGGGAGAGTGAAGGGAGAGGGAGAAAGGATAGAGAATGCCCCTATTTGTTAATCAATCGGCCGTTTCGGAAAGGGAAAACTCCGAAAATCCCCAGAGGGAGGAAGAAGACGGGGGGAGGCTGGGAGGGGAGCCGGTGGAGGGTTTAAACAGAGGAGGCGGGTACCTCCAACTCCTTCAGCGAATCGCGGAGCTTCTCCGGTCGGCGGTTCCTGGGGGTCCACGAATAGCCTCGAGCTACGGAGGAAAAACAGGAGAACAAACTAAAGATCATGTGACTCGAACTTTAAAACACAGACATAAGAGATTGTTTTTTTTTTTTTCTAAAAGGCTGTCATGGGAATTCAGAGGAATGTGGCACCAAAAACCGTAAAGGGTAAAAGGGTTGAACTTCATATCTGAGCTGAGATCTCAGTATGAAAAGAGGTGACATGAAGAATAAAGGGTGGTGACAGGATGGTCAGGTGGAATAAAGAGATGCAGGTACATGAAGCAGGCATCCCACAATGCAATGCTCAAAGCTTTCCGTGGATGTATACAGAGTAATGGTCACACTCCTGAACTTTGGCTCCATTTTGACCACAGGGACAAATCCTGTGAGTTATCGTAAGTGCTATATCGTAGGCACCTGGACTTGCTTACGTTTCTTGAAGATGTTTCACCTCTCATCCAAGAAGCTGAAGAAGAAGGAGGAGGAGTAGTGCCAGTGGGCCAGAAGGCTGTGACAGCTGCGTGTCTCTAAGACATGGGTAATAAGTAAGAGTTTGGCTAAGTGCGGTGATATTTGTTGGCTGTGTTGAATCTTTTCTTTATTTTGTGTGTCCCTGCTACAGGCGATCCAGTTTTTCCTTCCCGTTTCCGTTTTGAATAAACTTCCTTTAAGCTGGTGATTTGTTTTGCTCGCCTTTTTCTTTTTTTGAAAGTTCCCTCCATTTCACTGAGTGACTCCCTCCTTCTCCTAGATCTCTGGCAGGGACGTAAAACCCACAAAGAGCAAAAGCCAAAACTCCAAATGGGGAAATACAAAAGGGCACCTTAAGGCTCCCAATAGATGCACCCTGTGGTACTGAGACAGTAACCTTGAGAGGAACCAACAGGCCCCTGAGAAACCTCATAATTTAGGCATTTATGGATGAATTTAATATTAGCAAATTTAATGACATGAATAAATTTAAGGGATAGTTCACCCCCAAATCAAAAATATATATTTTTCCTCTTACCTGTAGTGTTATGTATATCAATACAGATTGATTTAGTGTTGGTGATATCTACCGTAGGAATGTCTACCTTCTCTTCAATATAATGGAACTGGACGGCACTCAGCTTGTGGTGCTCAAAGCGCCAAAAAATTATATTTGAAAAACTCAACAGCAATGTCTCTTTCCAGAAATCATGACCCCCGGTACTCAAGATAATCCACAGACCTTGTTGTGAGCAGTTTCATGTAGGAACTATTTTCTTTCTACTGAACTACAACCAGCGTCTGCATCATTGCACAGAAGAAAGCGTGCGTCTACTCACGGACGAGAGGCTTGTGCTTGTGACAGTGCAAGAAAACAAACATCAATGGCATCCTCCTCAGCTGAGCTGTAACAATAGCTAGCTCAGTGGTGCTAGGTGTGCTAACAGTAGATGCACGCTTCCTTCTGTGCAGTGATATGATTAGCGGGTGTAGTTTGGTAGAAAGAAAATTGTTCCTACATGAAACTGCTCACAACAAGGTCTGTGGATTGTTTTGAGTAACCAGGTTATGATTTCTGGAAATAGACATTGCAGTTTTTCATGTGTATTTTTTGTCGCTTTCAGCACCACAAACCGAGTGCAATCCAGTTCCATTTTATTGGAAAGAAGGCATACATACACTCTAGATTAATAAGCACTGAAGGTACTAGGAAAAATATGTATGCTTGCTTTTGGAGTGAACTGTCCCTTTAACATATGTAATCTATTAAGTGTATGGTGGTGATGATCAGTGTTGAGTTTGTGAACACCTGACATCAGCATTGGTTACTCTCAGTACCAGTAGCTTTGTAACTTCACGTTTATGTTTAAAACTCAAATGCAAAACCACTGCTCAGTATGTAGAAACTACATTGATATAGTGACAAGCTTTACATTTCTGACTACCATATCCCCAAAGCAGCAAGAGTCTGAAATCTGCTGCTTACAGATTGATATAGCTCCACTAACAGAGTGAAAATATTCGACTGAAAGCAAAATGTCCCTTCAAAAACACACAAACTGGTCCTCGAGGAGAAGCAAATACTTAATCATGAGGACTTTTGGCGCTCTTGAGTTGAGTTATCTCCCAAATGCAACCTCACAGTTAGCGCCACATATCTCGACACGTACCACACCAAGGCCCCTTCATTTTAATTTCCCAGCCCTCCCTTTTCCCCTCCATCTCTAGTGGTTAAACAGAGGGAGGGAAGGATATGAAGGGGAAAAAAAACAGCTAATTGAATTTGTGCATCTGCTTCTGCCCACGCACATACATGAAGTTCAGTGAGAGGAGAAAAAATAGGAAATGAAGGACTGCTGTTTTCAGTATGGAGTAATCACTCCACTACGTGTTTATTTTACACTCTCCCTGTTCATCTTAACTGAAACGAACCATTAAGGAGTGGGATTCTCTATTAAGAATGAGTGGGAAGAGGAGGTAAACAGATGCATCCAAATGAGGGTGTGGAGGGTGGGGGGGGTCAGGAGGGAGGGGAGGGCAGGGGGATGAGTGTTCGTCTCCTGATAAGGGTGTTTGTATTCCACTACTGGGTGAAAAGCAGAGAGAGTGCGGGTAAGAGAAGGAGGGAGAGACAGAACAGAGGATGTAGGACAGTTGACTGACGATGGCAGTGATTTCTGGAAGATGGTCATCCACTGGTAAGATGGTTAGGGACCCAACTTTCACCCAGAATAAAATTTATTTCAATCACTCTTTGAGTTCCTCTGTTGGGAACTCACCTTCACAGTAATGTTGTTTCTCATTGTAGTAGTGATGCTCCAGAGGATTGGCTGAGGAAAATAATAAAAAGGTTACTTAGAAGGTTAGATTTTGAATATCAAAAAACATGATGTTAACAATGAATGACTGTCATCTGTCTCTGTGATGTAGCTAACGATGAACAGAAAACTAAGCCGAAGCTCAAACATCCCCCCCCTTTAGCTCCAAGAGACCTTGTTGGCAAAGTGTAACCCATAACTGTGCCTCGTGGCCCGGTCACTGTGAGCAAGAAAGTGGCCAGTCTGGTGGCCGGCCTCTCTGGCAGGCAGGAACACCTCCAGGATTAGTAGTATTAATCAGATAAGGGGGTGAGGGGCCAGACAGGCCCAGACATGGGCACCTGCTCTGGGGCTGGGTGGGGAGGGCTGGGTGGAGGTGGAGGGGGGGGGGTTTGGCTGCAGGGGACCCTCTGAGCTGCTCCAATGAGCCTGGGTCTACCTCTAGTGGGGAGATGTGGAACTAACATTTCAGGGAATAAAACACCCACCATCATAGCCACTACAATGATGCTGACATCCAGAGCAACAACTCCAATACATAAACCAATCAATGTAGTCTCATACTGATGTACACAGAACTGTTACATATAGAGGTGTTTGTTGTTTAGTCTGCCCTCATTGATATAAATCAGGTGTACAAAATAATAGAGACACCTGTCAGCAACACAAACTGCAGCATCCAAAATGGTTTAATTGATGCCTCTTTAAAACAGTTTAAATAAAACTTTACAGTGTTCATGACAGAGAATTTATTGCAGAACTGTTATATTAAAGTGCATCAGTTTAAATCTGGTGTACTTAATGAACTGGCAACTCGGTGTATGTGCACACAAAGTAGAAAATGCCGTCTTCAGTTTAAAAATGCCCTGGAAATGAAACATATTTTCAGCTTCTCACTTTTAGTGATGGAGTTCTTCATGGACAAACTGTTTTGTACCAAAATTAGAATAGTTTTTGTTACTGTATTATTTGTCCTCTGTGCTTATCTCAATAGTTTCAAGTGGGCTTTTTTAGGAAAAGGTGATACTACGCAACAATGCACCAATCAGAGTATAGCAACATTTGATTTAGAATCTAATGACAGTTCAGGGCTCAACAATAACACTTGCACACAGCAAGTAAAATGCAACATCAGGCTAGTATATCTAGCAACTCACTTGCCCAATTGAGCAAGTGGTAAAAAATAAGAGGGAGCTGATGATGGAAGTAGCTTAGGAGAGAGCATTTTTGCTTCCTTCTCGCTTCAGTTGAGAGTTGCGCATGTGCAATGCAACAGTTAATTTTAACTGTTTTTACTGGTGTTTTTATTTGACCTCTGTATTTATTTGTTTTTATCTGCACTCATTTGCACTTTGAGATAGGCCAGTGCAATACCCGTAGTTCCCTTTGATTGTAACCTTACAGACAAGGCAAATGGTTGCACTACTCTGCACCAGTAGTCCGTAACTGTAACACACTCAGTGCACTATGTTGGTAACTTGTCTGTGTTGACTGTATGTATGTATGTATGTATGTATGTATGTGAATACTGCAGCTGTTTGCACTATACTGCCCAAGGTGAATTTCCCTTGCGGGACAATAAAGTTTATCTTATCTTATCTTAATATGGAAGAAGATGGTGGCTGGTAAAGACAAGGTTTATAAGCTAAAGCACAACAAGCTTTTGAATTATCCTGAAACAGGAGTTAAGTTGGGTGGCATTGGTGCATGTGGGCAACAATTTCAGCTATCACTTGTGCTGTTTGCCACAAGTTTGAGAGCAGGGCGAATAAAGCAGGGTCATTTTTAAAACACATGCCACATGTCCGAAGAAGGTCACTGGAGAGCCGTAACACAGCGTGGCAGGTAAGAGGGCTGCCAAGAACCCCTCCTCAGGCTTTGTAGGCTTTTGTACAAAACATTAAAATTAAGTTTAGACATTGTCGTTAAGTTATAACTGCTAATAAATAAAACAACTGTATATGGATGGGTAGAAATTTACTTTGTAAAAGTAGATTTCTGACCCACTGCTACGAGGAAAGTGAAAAAAACAAAACAAAAAAACAATGACATTGAACCCTGCAGTTGATTGTTTGATCACAGTCAATCAATTTTTTTTTTAATATATTTTTTTGGGCATTTTTGAGCCTTTAATTGATAGGACAGGTGAGGGTGAAGGGGGGAGAGAGAGAGAGGGAGTGACATGCAGCAGAGGGCCACAGGCTGGAGTCGAAACCGGGCCGCTGCGGCAACAGCCTTGTACATGGGGCGCCTGCTCTACCACTAAGCCACCGACGCCCCACAGTCAATCAAATTTAATCAAACCACACTCACACAGCTCTAATGAAGCAGATTAGATCATAATCAAGTTATTAAATAACATCTACAGATTTTTAAAAACTTGCTTGATATCTATTTAGTCATGAATATTCAATAACATTACTAAAAGAGAAATACTCAAGATGTGAAGACAAATTTTCGGGGGGCTTTAAAGGCCATATGGCCTGTAAGTACCTTTGTGTAATAGGAGGTTAAGTATTAGCCAAACAGTCCATTCAAAATATTAGACTAACAAACATTAATCTAATCTAATGTAATCTACAATTTATGCAACCGTATCATGACTTGAGCCATCGTTACACCGCTGTGTGAAAATGTTGTGATACTTTTGGATAGTGATTCTGCTCCCCTGCTCCGTCTCTCCTCTCCTCCCCCTCCTCCCCCTCTACTCCCTCCACTCTGATATCAAGCCACACTTTAGTAATCCTCCAAATGAAAGGATTTGGAGCGAGAGCATCGTCTCTCCACTGAAGATTGGAATGAAAGAGAAGGCAGCTTCTCAGATGAGAGAGGAGGGAGAGAACCCTGTGATGAGAGGGAGAGGGAGGAAAAAGACATACTGTACACAAAATGAGAAAGAACAAAAATATACATGGTGAGAGAAAATACTGAGACAAAGAGGAGGAAATCAACGAAAGAGAGGCAGAAACATCTGAGACAGGCACAGAACAAAAGGAAAAACATGAAGATGGAGAGAAAGTAAAAATACACAAAACTGGTGAAGGAAGCAGGGAAATGAGATATTTACTATACGTCTTTAAACAGAGAGAAATAAAGGCAAGTAATTTAACTTAAAGCTGCTTTAATAATTTGTCATGTTAACAGTGGAACAAATGACTGATGTGAAAGGTGTCACTCACAGTGACAAACACAGAGCATTATCACCTGAGTCTGCTGCTCCCCTTAGCTCTACAAAGTGTTGTAGCGTCCTTGAGCCTAATAGTTCTGATTTTACGACGCACAACTTGGCTCACTCTCACTGCTCTCACCAGCTCTGATCCAGCAGTAGCAGCTAAAAACAAAGCTCTTTTAACCAACTGTACATTACCTGCTCTGCACCAAACAGCAGACCGACACAGTTAGAGACTAACAGATGAACAGGGCAGAGCATTTATCAGCTAAAGAGACAGCTATTTCACTCAGGAGTTGGTGGAGACCAAAAACAGCTAAAACAGAGAGAATATTGGACTTACATTCGTCAGTTGGACACAAACACCACTCTGTTTGGTGACATGTTTCTCATATTAACTTAACAAGCTCTGTGTCCACCAAAGTGTTTATCCCACAGCTGAAAACACCAGGTGCTGCTCAAGAAACACGCAGCTGAGAGCACTTAAGAACGCTTTGGAGGCTTATTTCAGCTGAGATGCTTTGGATGCAATGACAATGAGTATCCACAAAAGTAAAAAAAAAAAAATGTGGGGACAAGGTAGAGTACTTGTTTTGGTCATACTGCTGGCATTTGTAGCATGGTGTAAATATGCGGCGCTCCCACTACAAAGAATTAAAAAAAAATACACTGGTCCTCATAAAAAAACAAAAACAAAAACAAAAACGCTTTGGTGGACACAGCCTCTGAGGTGATTATATGCTTATGATTTGCCAAAAAATGTTTAATTAATGAAGGTTTGAATAAATATAAAATAAAACAAGGGACTTTTACACACTAACAATATTCAAATTTAAAATCATAAACAGAAAATCTATTTTTTAACAAAGACAAGGCAACAACACACACAGCATCCCTTTTGATAGATGAGCTGTAAATGGACTATGTATATAGTGGTTTTCTATTCTTAGCAACCTTTTAAATGCTTTACAACACAAGCCAGCATTCACCTATCACACACACACATTCATAAAGTGGTGGTAGAGGCTACTATGCAAGGTGCCACCTGCTCATCACTACTCACATAAACACTGGCAGTGGCACAGCCGTCAGGAGCAATTTGGGTGTTCAGTATCTTGTCCAAGGACACTTAGACTGCAGAGGCAGGGATCGATAATTTTAATAATAACATAAAATAAAATAATAATTAATTTTCTTTACTTACCCAACTGTTCTAGCTTTTCTATCATTTGTCTTTACCCACTTGGTCATATCCAGATTACTGATGATTATTTATCTAAATTTCATTGTGTGAATACTTTGCTAAAGCCCCAATAGTTAACCCTACATTCATTCATTATCCTCTTGAGGGTCACAGGGGGCTGGAGCCTATCCCAGCTGACACTGGGCAAGAGGCAGGGTACACCCTGGACACTTCACCAGACTATCACAGGGCTGACATATAGAGACAGACAACCATTCACACTCAAATTCACACCTACAGACAATTTAGAGTCACCAATTAACCTGCATGTCTTTGGACTGTGGGAGGAAGCTGGAGTACCAGGAGAAAGCCCACGCTTGCACGGGGAGAACATGCAAGCTCCACACAGGATGGCTCCCCCAGCCAACGTTGGAACCCACCACTGTGCCGCCAGTTAACCCCACAATTTGTCCATATATCAATATCAAAGTATTTGGTCCAAAATATTGTGATATTTGATTTTCTCCATATCACCCAGCCCTATTACACACTTTACACATGTATATAATGTACTAAAATTCTGGACAAAGATAAAGCCAATGTATTTTGAGCTGTAAAAGTTGGTAGAAATTTGGAGTGGTTGACTTCCTTGAAATTAGTACAGATCTCTTCAGCAGGATTAATTTTCAAGGTTTGGCACATTGATAAAGATGTAGTAACCCTCCACAGACAACTCGGTGTACGTTTCAAAATGCTTGCATGCTTAGACGCATCATTTCCCTAAAAAATATGAATACATACACATAAAAAGAAAAGCAAAGGAAGAGGCAGCTCGTCTCTACACTGCTAGGACCGTGGGGGAGTGATTTGAGCACTTCCTGATTGTAAGGGAAGCCTTCTAGCCTGAGGCATTATGAGGCTGGACTACATGGGGCCTCTTGCTATGTGATCTAGGAGAAAGTCAACAGTTTAGTTTCCCTATCATTGTATGGCAAGACCCCGGGTCAACAGGAACACAGGGAGTGTAAGAGATAGAACCACGGAGGCCTAATAACCTGAGTGTATGTGTGTGTGTGGTACGTGCATGTGTATATAAGGCTTTAGGCTGTAAATCCTACATACTAATAGCCTCTGTGTGGACAAGTGTATGTGTGGCTAACGGGTGTAAGTCACTGAAATACGCAGCACCAATAATTTCTGTGTAGATGTGTGTGCTCAGAGCTTATGGGAGCGTGGGAGGCAGCAAAAAGCCCTTCTTCATATATAAGGAAATCACATACATTCCAAAAACAAGACAAATGCAACTTATCTTAAACACAAACAGACATCCAATATAAAACACTATTTACCTGGCTCTCCTTTATCGTAGTACTGATAGGTGCCAATATCTGTATCTGTGGGGCGGGAGAGAGAGGGAGAGAGAAAGATGAACATCTAGCTGTCAGGGAAAAGCAGAAGACAGATCAGCAATTTCGCACCGTGGGATAAACAATCGCTATCTGCCAGTGGCCTGTCCCGTCTGCCAGCACCACAGTTTAGATAAGACCCTGTGAGGGAGGAGGAGGAGGGGGAGGAGGAGGGAGGATGGGCTGGGGGGGTCCGAGCCAGAATGGAGGGGGGGTAGAGGGGTATTAATAAAGACAGGAGTGTGCCTTAACCCATCCCACCTGAGGGATAGACTCTGATTTATGCACATGCAACATATACATTTAAAAGCACACACACTCAGCGGGCAGTTAAAAAAAACATATGACCGACATACACAAAGCAGGAAACGAGCTCTAACACACACACACACACACACACACACACACACACACACACACAAACTGCTGAGCAGAGCCTTTTTTTGTCAGTGTTATTCCTGCAGGCCCAAAACCATAAGCAGCCAGACTCAGATTCGCACAACACATCGTTTCTTTATCGCTCTGCTACTGTTGCTGCTGCTGCTGCTCCTGAGGCCAGGTCACACTAATACAACAGGAGAGCTGATGGCAGACACATACAAACACACTGCTATTAGTAATGGCTTGATGTCACTTTTTCTATTTGTGAAACAGATAGTGATTCTATAACCTTGAGTATCCACTAATATCAACCTTAACTTTTTTTTTCCTATTAAATGACTTGGATGTTCTTGAGCCATTTGTTTAAATGCGCTTAAACCTACATATAGCACTTATTGTGGGTGTTAACACTGAATCTTTCGAAATGGGGTTGTATGAAGTACTTGATGTTGGTGGCATGCCCCAAGTTTTGAGAAGCAGGCAGGAGTACTGCCACTTTACCTTGACACAGACAGCCTTCTCCATAGGTGAAGCTGTTAACGGCTTCAGTTCCCCGTCTATGCCCTCGTAAAAGCCACCAGACTCCATTGACAAAAACAGTAGTTTTAGCCTGCTGAACACAGGAGCTGCAGGTCTACTGCTGCCTCTATCAGTTAGTTAGTTTCTGTTATTGTGTGACTTTGCTGAATATGAACTAACCCTCTGAAACACCAAAGTCACACAATAACACAAACTAACCAACTGATCGAGGCAGCGGTAGACCAGTAGCTCCTGTGTTCAGCGATGTTAAATTACCGTTTTTCTTAATGGACTCTGGCTTTGAATGGTGTAATGGCTTCAGTTCCCCATTGGAAATTACTGTCTGAAGGCAAGGTAAAGCTGTGAAATATTCTAAATATAGCATCAATTTAAACATATCGATCGTTTTAGGCGGGACTTCTTTTAGGTGGCTAAATTATGTTTGGTTGCTGACCCTCTGCACAGCAGTGTATTACTTATCTTCCATGTCTGTACTCCTGCCTACTTCTTTGAACTGGGGGGCATGCTATCTAACATCTACTGTATGTGATACACTGACTACAGATAAGTACTTTATACAACCCCACTTCAAAAGATCCAAAGTTAAGCAAAGTCAAGCAAAAGGGTCAATTGTAGTATCAAACTTACTATGACTTAAATGTTTTTTGTTATCTGACTCACATCCCTGAATAACCATATGAAGCCATTACAAACAAGCTCAGATATTGTATTGTACTGCATGCTTTTCCTTCACAGCATGAAATATCAGAGAGGCTGGTGAAGACAGCTGAGTATCTACACAAGCTAAAGACCCATATATTTCTGAGGAGTTTGTGGACCAACCCAGACCTGCATCCTTAAGCAGGTCAAAAACACGACTACAGTGGGATGCATATGTTGCTCGTTGTCTGCCCTATGTTTTAAGTTGGTAGCTGCAGCATTTTATTTACAGAAAGTTGTGAAAAGTATGGCTTCAAACAACTGCATGATGTTCCAGTTTGTGGTATCAAACCAATCTATGTTTGTAGGTGTTTTATGGGCTGAAATCTTAAAAATCCCCTACAGATATGTTTAAAGACAGATCAAAATATTTTGCTTTAACTAATAATTTGTGCCCATTATCGCTTTTTGGCACAAAATGTTCAAATATATAGTTAAATATTCATAACACATTCCACTCCTCCCTAAATGAAAAATTCATAATCTATGGATAAGCAAATATCTTTTTATTTATAAAGTTTGAAGATGGCCCTTAAGTCATTCAAAAGTCAAAAGTATATGTGCACAGGAGTGTTTTTAAATCACACTTTTGTAAATTGAATATTGGAATGTGATTGGCTTCCAAGCTAAATATAATATCACAAAAATAAGGCTTGTACATACACATCTTGAACTCAGATTTCTTTCTTCTGCAGATGAATATGAAAACAGCCTTTTGTGTCAAACTCTGCACATTCATCATTTTGCACTGTGAAGGTCAAACCTCCAAGTGCCACTAAACAGTTAGCATGTAAACCTAACTCTAAATCCTAAACCTAAACTAGTCTCTTGTGGAAGTAAGGACAAACAAAATATTTTTCTTCACAATATTTCCTGTTGAGGTCTTCCTGTGCAAAGCAATTGACTCACAAACTGCTCAGAGTCCAACAGCAGAAGGTTATGAGGGATGTCTGCTGCACTAATGTGATGAACGCATGTAGAACGTATACACAGACAACATAGAAAATATTTGTTTCATAGCATTACACAGAAGATGCTGCTTTTATGAAACCATATTTTTGTTTTCGAGGCTGATGTATATGATGTAAGGAAGGTGGTGATAGGGAGTGTCACACCTCAGCAACCAGGCCTCTTCGCTCAGATGTATCCATCCACATTTTTCCAAGATAGCAGAAAGACACACAGAGCAGGAAAAAACAAACAAATAAGGATATGTCACCGTCACCCGGGATATACACCCTGTCGTACCTTTGTGTATACACATAAACACACACACAACACAGTCAGCCTCCAAGAGACACTATCTTCGTCTAAAGCTCAGCAGACTGTGAAAGACAAGACAGAATGGAAGGGAGGAGAAAACAAGAAAATGGAGAAACAGAGCATTTCCGTCTGACAGAAGAGATGGACTGATAGGTGGCGAGCAGAGAAACGCACAAAAACTGCCAGAAAAGTCAAACTTACGCCACACCCAATCAGCCTCACAGGGAGGAACTGCACACCAGTGAATGTTTCTCACTGCATGCATGATGGAAATGTAGGCGATGTGCAACTAACTTAACAAAACTGATCCATGTGCACTTACTGAATATTTTGTGTGAGTGTGCTTATAACACTGTGAGGAAAACTGAAGTCATATTTAGTTCTTGGCAAATAAAGCTGATCCTGACAGAATTTTTTTGTTTTTCATTTTCTTTTAATGACAGATTAATTTATACCTGACTTACTGTAAACATGGCACCCCTGTAGCACCCAATGCTATAAAATTGATCAGATGTTTTAAGTTGTTTAAAGTTATATGGTTTTTCCGCATTATAATTCCACATTGCATGCAGATCTACTCTTTCTCCTTCATAGAAAAATTTTGGACCTGGGCTCCACCTCACCCACCACCACTGCTGCTTGCGCGAGGTTTCAGTTTCGCTTTCTCCACCAAACAAAGTGTGGTGACAGGTCTGGTTATGTGAGACCAGTGAAAGAGTAGTGCGCATCAAGATGGCTCGGGGTCAGCGTTAGAGAAAACATGGGAGAGATTTAGCCATATATGTCTGAGCTTCAGTCAGACCCTGACTCAGATGAGGAGACTGTGGTGCATCAAAATCAACCACATATGTATTAGAATGAAACTTGTTTCAGAAACAGACAAGTTCAGAATGAAACTTGCTAACATGTTAGCTTTGTTAGCTTGTAACTAGCATTGACTGACACAACGTTAATGGTTGTGAAACATAAATTTATAAATATAAATACCAGATGTCTAATCAAAGTTTGCAGAAAGATGTATTCTGTCTGGCTGAGATTTTGATATGACGTGTAATAATAAGTCAAGTTTGGGCAAGAGGTTTCAGGTCTCTTTGCTGTTGGTGGATTGATGTTGGGTTGAATTGGGTTTCCCCATTGATACATGATTCCTGTATTTGTCAGCAACAGTAGCTTGCCAGGTTACAGTAAAATCTCTACTAGGATACTAGATACTAGGAAAGTGCACAGAAATTGCCCCCCTTCAGCAGTGTGAAATGTGAAAACTTTGCAGTATAGTCAGTATAGTCAACATCAAACATTTTAGGGGACATAAACATAAGAAAAATACATTTTGAGTGGAGGGGATTTTATTTTCTTGTGTGGTCTTTGAAAACTTTCAGATGCTGATTTCTTGAGATAGTTGTAGTTATGCTAACCAATGTGTACAGGTACAATTTAATGTTGTAAAAACAGTATAAAGAACAACATGTATAAGTCAATAAACAGACGTCGAGGGCACGAGAATTTGAGGGGCCCAAAGAGAGGGCAAAAACAGACAAAGTGAAAAGTGGTGTTGACTGAGAGTCAGATTGTTAAAGTAGATATAGGTGAGGTGGGGAGAAGGTGTGAAAACAAAGTGAGTGACAACAGAAAGAGCCGGAGCGAAACGGAGTGAGAGGAAAAAGAGAAAAGGAGACAGAGAGAGAATTATTGAGAGAGACAGAGGGAGAGGGAGATTGAACATGGTGATAAGTGCTACCTTTGACTTGGAGCGAGCTCTTGGTGGACCACAAGTGCAGCTCAGCCAGGCAAAACGCCATCTGACGGAGGAGTGTAACCCGAGTCTGCAGGGAGGGACAAGTGAGAGAGAAGAACAAATGAAAGAGCTAAACACAACCACAGATGCATATCTTGACAAGATGACATAATAGATTGACATAAATAAGCCTGAGGGTCAAACACAGCAACAGCATGCGTGTTGGTGCATGCTCACACACACGCAGACTTATATGACCGGCAGTTCCTACTTGACCATGAACCTAGACTGGCAAAATCAGCAGTTTTCTACAGCTGTATATAGTATAGAGGATAACAAAGCAACACAAAATAATGTCCATTTGAGACCTTAAGCCGGATTTACAGTACAGGCCAAAAGTTTGGACACACCTTCTCATTCAATGCGTTTTCTTTATTTTCATGACTATTTACATTGTAGATTCTCACTGAAGGCATCAAAACTATGAATGAACACATGTGGAGTTATATACTTAACAAAAAAAGGTGAAATAACTGAAAACATGTTTTATATTCTAGTTTCTTCAAAATAGCCACCCTTTGCTCTGATTACTGCTTTGCACACTCTTGGCATTCTCTCCATGAGCTTCAAGAGGTAGTCACCTGAAATGGTTTCCACTTCACAGGTGTGCCTTATCAGGGTTAATTAGTGGAATTTCTTGCTTTATCAATGGGGTTGGGACCATCAGTTGTGTTGTGCAGAAGTCAGGTTAATACACAGCTGACAGCCCTATTGCACAACTGTTAAAATTCATATTATGGCAAGAACCAATCAGCTAACTAAAGAAAAATGAGTGGCCTTCATTACTTTAAGAAATGAAGGTCAGTCAGTCCGGAAAATTGCAAAAACTTTAAATGTGTCCCCAAGTGGAGTCGCAAAAACCATCAAGCGCTACAACGAAACTGGCACACATGAGGACCGACCCAGGAAAGGAAGACCAAGAGTCACCTCTGCTTCTGAGGATAAGTTCATCCGAGTCACCAGCCTCAGAAATGGCAAGTTAACAGCAGCTCAGATCAGAGACCAGATGAATGCCACACAGAGTTCTAGCAGCAGACCCATCTCTAGAACAACTGTTAAGAGGAGACTGCGCCAATCAGGCCTTCATGGTCAAATAGCTGCTAGGAAACCACTGCTAAGGAGAGGCAACAAGCAGAAGAGATTTGTTTTGGCCAAGAAACACAAGGAATGGACATTAGACCAGTGGAAATCTGTGCTTTGGTCTGATGAGTCCAAATTTGAGATCTTTGGTTCCAACCGCCGTGTCTTTGTGAGACGCAGAAAAGGTGAACGGATGGATTCCACATGCCTGGTTCCCACTGTGAAGCATGGAGGAGGAGGTGTGATGGTGTGGGGGTGTTTTGCTGGTGACACTGTTGGGGATTTATTCAAAATTGAAGGCACACTGAACCAGCATGGCTACCACAGCATCCTGCAGCGACATGCCATCCCATCCGGTTTGCGTTTAGTTGGACGATCATTTATTTTTCAACAGGACAATGACCCCAAACACACCTCCAGGCTGTGTAAGGGCTATTTGACCAAGAAGGAGAGTGATGGAGTGCTGCGGCAGATGACCTGGCCTCCACAGTCACCGGACCTGAACCCAATCGAGATGGTTTGGGGTGAGCTGGACCGCAGAGTGAAGGCAAAGGGGCCAACAAGTGCTAAACACCTCTGGGAACTCCTTCAAGACTGTTGGAAAACCATTTCAGGTGACTACCTCTTGAAGCTCATGGAGAGAATGCCAAGAGTGTGCAAAGCAGTAATCAGAGCAAAGGGTGGCTATTTTGAAGAAACTAGAATATAAAACATGTTTTCAGTTATTTCACCTTTTTTTGTTAAGTACATAACTCCACATGTGTTCATTCATAGTTTTGATGCCTTCAGTGAGAATCTACAATGTAAATAGTCATGAAAATAAAGAAAACGCATTGAATGAGAAGGTGTGTCCAAACTTTTGGCCTGTACTGTATACTTCTGCAATAAATCTAGGTCGTACCTACAGTGTAGGCTCTGCGTAGCTGCGTCCAGAAACCTTAGTTAGAAACCTAACTACATGCTGCAGCCATGCAGTTTATTTTTTTAAACTGAATCCCATTTCCCTAAGTAGAAATGAATCTTTTATTCACTCTTTGTCAAAGATAAGAGACAATAAAGTGCGAAGACAATTAAACCCCCCACCAAATAGCATTTTAATCATGTGTGTGATTTTTCCCAGCTGCATATGAGCAGAGGAGTCCACTAGCATCTAGGTTAATTTATGCAATAAGATACCACAGGCTTATGCTAATAATGTTAGCATGTTGTATTTGTGGGGAAAATGTCTAGTCTAAGACAACTTTTTAGTTAACTTTTAATTTTTTTTTAGCGCTTTTAAGCGATCTATGTTTTATTTGTGTGGTGGTTGAATCAATCAAACTTGACTTCACAGAAGCTCAACACAGTGGCACAGAAACCCCACCACAAATTAGCAATTTGGCAGTGTAACTGCAGAGCAACGCCGACACACCTGGACACAAATACGTATAAATTCTCGCTATGCCGTAGGCCGCTTGCGTTGGCTATGGCGTCAGCCTTAAGTGCTAATTGTATACAGTCTAAATATCATCAAATGACCAGGTAATGAAGTTAGACAAGACAGCATTGCTTATGCAAACAAACCTGATCAACATTTATGAACAGAACAGAAAATTATCTCTTTATATTAATTTAAAAAAATCTGTTTAATTGCTGTCGTTTTTAATGCAGTGTTTAATTTACATTTATTCCTTTTTCATAGTGGTAGCAGCAATCATTGGAGCAACAGCAGTGGAGTTATATTAGAGGTCAAAGTAACAGTAATAATAATGGTATGTGTAATAGTTAGTAGTGGTAGCAGTCGGGGCTTTTCCTAAAAAATATGTCAACTCTGCTGTAACATAATACCCTTCTGCTGCACCACTTCCTGTACCTGTTGTACTTGTATTACTCGTAAGTTGGAATAACAGTTACTCTACAGGTATGAATGCACATCTTAACTGAAAAAAACATTAAAAACAAGGTCACAGAAAGGCAGAGAGACAGAAATGCACATGAACTCAGACTGACACTGTTACAAGGTCACAGGTGGGCGATGTTTGCACCTTCATTCACACATCAGAGGTGATCAGTGATGGACACACACTTTGGAGCTGACAGCTAAGACAAAGCAGGCCGCATTCCTCACATCAGCTAATGAACACAGGACGGGTCTTTGACAGGCGCTGGCGATCCCTGTGTCTTTATTACAGACTTTATTCTCCAGCCAGTTAACTTCTGGTCCTCTCTATGGGGCTTACTCTGTAGTATTGATGGTTTGTTATTGTGTGTTGCTGGTGTATAAGAGGAAGAATTTCATACTGTGAAATCAATAATAATCAATTACACCTGCCCTTGACCCTTGGATATTTCACTGTGTAAATTACATCCTACATGGGACGGACTCAGATTAGCACACAGTAGGATGTGTATGAGAGTAGTATATGCTCCACACAGGCTGGTGCAGAGTCTTTGTATGCTGTAGCAAAAGGTGTAGCAGTATTGCTGTGTAGGCCATTCATTTCTCTATCTGTGCAGCTAATTCTCTGCGTCTCTCCATCCCCTCTCTCTCTCTTATTTTCTCTCGTTAACGCTGAGAGGGGACTCTTATCTCTCCCCTCTTGCACCTCATGGTGTGGGGGGAAAAAATCTCATTTTGCCACTCAAACCCCAAAACTACAAGTCCCAACAAAAATACACATAGATAACACTGGGTGCCATGGAAACGCTGGGGCTAGCATGGCATGGCAGCAACGGCGTAACGAGTTTACTGACATAAGAGGATTCTTTTATCCTCTCCTAACCAGCTTTTTTAGAGGAAGTCAGCCCTTTTGGAGGGAAAACCTCATTTCAGCCAGCTTTCATTTAGTTACTGCCAGTCTGGCTAACCTGAAAGTTCTCGAGACCTTGTTCTGCGCAGCTGTCGGGGTCTCACGGAATTTTTAGCAGAATAGAAGAAACAAGGGGGCTGACATAGATACAGAAAATATGGGAGTAAATGGGTGAGTGTGTGTTGGACAGGAATGATGTGTGTCCACGAGCCCCGTCTCGACATACATATGATGGCAGGTTTGGTCAGGACGTGTACTAAAATGGTAACTGAAGATCAACCCATTTACAGCAACTGTTGCTCCTCTATGCCATCACATCAGATACATCAGTATGTTTGTCTAATGACTTCCCACTGCGGCCTTTTTACACGCAAACCCAAACGTATCGCTCCAGTACTTGTATTAACTTCACCGGTGCAATATAGAATTAACTTCTTATTGGTTTGGCTCCCCAGTACATTTCTGACATGCTCACTAACTACAATCCGATTTCTCAGGTCATCATGTAAGTGGCATTACGTTTCCGGCGCTGCCTTAGGCAGCAACCTGCTAGAGTTGCTCTTTGTTGTAAAGTCACGTGTAATACTACTTCTCATTGTTTTATCATATACAGTACAACACTGATCAGCAGGAGCAGTCTGCTTTTTTTCCAACATTTTAGTTCATTTAGTAACTCTTGTAGTAATCTTACTCCTATTTTTACTTTGTTAGGCACTGGTTTTGCTTTTACTTCATACTTAATACTCTATTGTTTCTGAAACTGGGCTCAGTGAGTGACCCTGACCCAGGGAACCCACTGGTTGTTGTGGTTGTTACTTGTCGTGAACGTTAAATTGTGGTTTAGTTCTACTGAATTGAATTTAACTGTGCCAAGAATTGAATCAAGATCTGGTGAGGTTGCTTTACGTGCCTCTACATACACAGCATTATTTTCTTAGTGCCAGTGTCTTTTGTCAATTGCTCCCTGTGAGAAGAGAGCGGTCACATGCAGGTGCCGTGTCCGGTGTCTTTTTTCAGAGCCCTGTGGCTTTTTTCTGTGTGGCCATTCCAAGCACTTCTAGTTGAAAACTTTTCAGAAAGGCGCTGACGGTATCACCGCCGCTACTTTAGCTACTGTCTATCCTGAGCTGTTTATTATGTCAGAAACTATTACAACAAAGACAGAAAGGCCAATTTGTGTGAGCAGAGTTGTGCTTTTATCACCATACATGTGGTAGCTGTGTAGTCAGCTCTCTGTTAACGTAGGTACATTAGCTACCTAGCTAACATCAATGTCAAGATATCGCTGTCATAGAAACACAACCTACACTGGGAGCCCTTTTTTTTTTTTTACGAAACACTGGGATGAAGCGCTCCCCAGCTCCCTGCCTCTGCTTTTCTGTCTGCCAATAAAAACGCTATGTGGACACAGGTCTCAAGTAATTTTGGACTTGTTCTCTGAGACAAACAGCCTGACAACTGGAGATCTGTCATATCCTCTTTTTTCTTAGGCTTACAATAGATTACTATATATATTATTATGATTACTATGTCTGTTTGTGTCTGTGGGGTGGCTACACACACACACACACACACACACACACACACACACACACACACACACACACACACACACACACACACACACACACACACCTCAGTCATACCCTCCATCAAACTTGCAATACCAGAAGTTTCACCCAGACAAGCATGAGCATAGCATATAGCATTTGCTTTGTATAGACTTGCTTTTTAAAGAATGCAGAGCTGAAGAGTAGCAATAGACTGCTTCATTCGATACCTATAATGTGAACGGAGTGGCATGTATTGTAGTCATACTTTTAAACGTTTTGGTGGCATCTTGGCACACTGACCTGCTGACTACATCAAATGCGCCGCGCTCTACTTCACCACACCACAGACTGTAGCTGCTGTGGGACTGAATTCTGCAACGGGGACATTTGTGAGAGTCCACCAAGCCGCACATACAGTGACAGGGCTAACTGTTAGCATCACAGGGCTAATGTTACTTAACTGATATTAACGGGTTTAACAACAGAGTCTGTGTCAGTGCAGGTTTGTTGGGAAATCATTTGCTGGAAGGACAGCAGCTCTGACGATGGCAGCAACAAAAAATTTACTGCAGCAGGGAGTCTGAACAGTCCAAGATCACACCCCTGGGATGGGGACAAAAGTAATGTAGTTCTCATTTGACTGGAGACATTTTCATTATACTTGGTACTGGGTTATTCTGGTCAATACTTAAAAAATACCCAGCGCTACACAAGTATGTATTAAACTGAGCGGTAATATTCTTGTGAATAGGATCACCTGTGATTTAAAATATTTCACTTTTTAGAAAGAACATTCATATTTTTTAAACCACTTTGTTGAAAGCTACAAGACCTGTACAGTGACTTCACTGCACTCAAAATTGTTCATGCACACACATGGATACACACACTCAGGCACAGAAGCATGTACACACACACACACACACACACACACACACACACACACACACACGCACGCAGCATGCCGCGCAGGTCCTGGACAGCTGCCACACTCATTCTGATTTCTGGCTGGGGTTGCTGTGGGTTACCTGTCCCCCCGCAGAGCTTTGTGGGGGTGTACGGCCAGTGTACAGAGGGCCGTGTGAGGGGGTGGGGGGGTCTAGGTTATTGTACCCTGTCTTTACACTAGTAAAGAGGCTGCTTTAACATCAAAGGAGGGGAGGGAAAACATACGACTCCTCTTTCAAAGACAGTCCACAGGAACTACGACCTTGTCTGCTCTCTGCATCTTTTTCTCTGCTCTTCTTTCACTGTCCCCTCTGGGTGGTTACTGAGTGCGAGAGTATGTGTATGTGTGTGTGTGTGTGCAAGGAGGAACAAGAGCAACAGAAAGTCTTTGTATGAGTGTGCTTCAGTGTGTGTGTGTGTGTGTGTGTGTGTGTGTGTGTGTGTGTGCCAGAGACAGAAAGAGAGAGTCAGAGACAGAACTTTAAGTAAATATTTAATTGAGGCTGGTTCTCTCAGAGTGAAAGAGAGAAACAATGAAAGCCTTTCTAAGATATCTGGATGGCAGTCCTGTCTCATCTCTCACTCTTTCTTGCTCTCAACAGCCACAATTCAAACAGACACAATCTAACACAGAGCTATTGTTCTATATATGCTTTAAGTGTATATATGGACACAGTGTGTCCGGCTACAGTGGGTGTCCAGGTGTATGTGTGGCACAAACATTATACTTTGAATTCTACCGACGGCCTTTCTAACATGGCAATCCTCCACATCCTGTCCCTGGTGGACAGAGGACATGTCCTGACCTTTCTACTATCGTATAACGACTCTACAAAGCACCCTGCATGGGCATACATACCGCCAAGTGAAAATCTTCTGAATAATTTAATGTGCACCTGGATGCATGTTAAAATACATATATTTTTGGAATTACACATTAAAGTCAGAGATGCATTTCCTGGGAAAAACTGACCACCTACACTTTAATATCCCATTGTAAACAATCATGAATCATGTCTCCACATCAAAACTGGACAACTAGCTCACAAGGATTACACCACTTGTGCTACTGTATTGAATATGGACATGTTCAGGATAATATTTTTAATGTACCTTCAGAACAGAGCTACATACTGACTTCTCAAAAATGAACTCATTTGGTTACACCGAGCTTCTTTGGGTTCTAAGAATGACGGAGAAACCAAACCAGTTGTCTTGAGAGATATGACGAGGTGATTATGGTGAGGATGAAAAAAAAATAAGACAGTAATAGCGTTGCTGGGTTTAAGACATCTGAAATCTCTCAATGACTTCGCCAACTAAAAACTCTTCCTTAGCCAAAGTGAGAGGGAAAATGTATGGTGTGGCAGGAGGGACAATCAGTGATTCATCACCTGCTCCACCTATGCACAGATAAGCTTTTGGAACTGAAACAGGTTTTTTTTTTTTTTTTTAAGATATTTTTTGGGGCATTTTGGCCTTTAATTGACAGGACAGACAAGCATGAAGGGGGAGACAGAGAGGGAGTGACATGCAGCAAAGGGCCACAGGCTGGAGTCGAACCCAGGCTGCTGCAGCAACAGCCTTGTGCATGGGGCGCTTGCTCTACCACTAAGACACTGACGCCCCCTCAAACAGTTTTTTACTCTATATAAATATTTCGCTGGAGCTGCACAGACTACACAGGTTTAATTGTAAATGTGTGTTGACTTGTTATGGAATTCTGATGGTCATTAGTAAGAAAGGGGGTCAATGGCTGATATGGGCCTTGTAAAACCTATAACTACACATCGGGGCAACAGTAGCAATGGAGATACCAATGCTTGTGTTTTCTCCTTTAAAGGAGATGTTTATGACATTCAGAGTATATCTATGATTGAGAGTCTGATTCAGGTTGTCTGCGCACGGTTGTCAACATGGAAATAGCTGAGCCTACGGCTAACAGCGCTAACAACAACAACAGTGCTGACAGAGCTTATGGGGTTAATGGGAGGTGGCTTTGCTTCTGCAGCCACAGCATGGGTCGGGATGGTATTATCAACAGTAACCTCCATGAGTGCAGAGCAGTGGCGATGAGCTAGCCAGTGTGATACACATACACACACAGAGGGACTCACATGCACGAACATATACGTGGCCCTAGACTATCAACTACAACTAACAGAGATACTCAGATTACACAGAGTTGGTGTGACTCTACTCTCTGTTCAGAACGTCATTACTCCACTATATCTTTACATAGCAAATAGTGGATTGCCGCTATATTAACACTCTGAATGTTGTATATAGCTCATTTAAGTTTTGTCAGTAGAGACTGTTGAGGGTGTGCTTCCCTCTGTCGTTCTACATTACACTGTGAATAAAGAAATATAAACAATGTAGTATAATTACAGCACAATATGGCCCAATCAAATGCAAATAGATTTGTCTAGAGTTGTCAGAATGGGTGAAATTCAACACTAAACTAAAGTTAAAGCTGATGCTACAGTGCCATAGGTATCTATGACAGAAATCCTGTTAACCCCCTTGCATCATGTATATATAGAGCTTTAGTGGTGTTGTTGTTCTGGATCATATGATATCGAGAGGTGTTCCTCATGTTCTGTGCCACCTGCATGGATAAACAGGGTTTGTCTTAATGTTGGGAAATCTATAAAGTATTCTTTTATTTCCAGACAGGAAGGATGAAGACTCTATAGCGTAGAAACTTGCATGTTCAGCTGAACCGACTTCAATCTTGAATGGCCAACGCGCTCTCTTTCTTGTCTTTACATGCACATGTGTGCCATAAAGGTTAGCAGAGTTTCATGCATCATAGACCAGTGGCTGGTGACTGGTTACTCTTTAAGTGAGATAACTATGACGTACTTACAGTGGTGTAGCTTATGCTGCAACAGAAGCAGGGTCATAAACAAATGAGTTCAAATTTGGCGATGACCCCAGGGTATATTAGGGCCTTGGTGCAGATCTGGAGCTCCTCTGCAACAAGAGAGAAAGAGAGAGATAAAATAAAGGAAGGTTCAAAGACATTTTGTTTGACATCTCAAGAATCCTTTCTCACAGGTATGCACTCTTACTCTCTAACCATCTTTCTCTCCTTTTCTCTCACACACACACAAACACACACGCCAGAGGCAGTGCTGTCAGCTGGTGCAGTGGTCCCATCACTGTGAGAAGAGTGATGTGGTAAATTACAGGGTTAAAGAGCTGCCATAGGGTGACTGACACAAGGCCATCACAGCCCGGCCTCATTCCCCCGACCCCAGTACACACAACTTTACTAAACACACACACACAATAATCTCCTCACCTGGTTCTGTGTAAGTTTGTCAGTTTCTCCTTCCCTGTTGCTTCTCTCTCTCTTATTTAGCCTCTTGTACATTCACTTATCATCCCTCTGCCTACTTGTCCCATGCCTTTTATCTTTTTCCCCCTCTTTCTTGTCCCCCATGTTTTTCTGAGGTACCTCCTATTAGAAATGCATTAAGCTTTCTGACCCTGTCTGCAAGCTTTCACTCTCTCTTTCCAACAATTTTTACTCTCCTCATTCTTTGTCTCGTCTCTCTCAAAGGACAGCCTTTAAGTGAGTCTGATTTTTTCTTTCTCTCTTGCAGTTTTTACTCTACTCTTTATTGTCTCATCTCTCTCAAAAGGACAGTGTTTGAAATTTTCTGACTTTTTTTTCCACACAACCTTTATCTCCTGCAGACGCTCACTCTCTCTCTCAGCGACTGCCTGGTCTTGTTTTGGCTCTCGGAGAGAAACTTGGCAAACATGAAGAACATACAAAGAGCGACCAGAAAGTATATCTATACAGAGAGAGATAGGTAGGGTGTGAGTGTATAATTGTGAGTGCATATTTTCCAATCTGAGGTGCCTCGGAGTTCCTGCCAAGTCTCAGTCACAGACTACATGAACACACACTCAGTTATTCAGTAAACACACTTAGGTACTCAAGTCAGTCCTGCGTCCAATCTCTCAAACTTCTGATATGTGAACTCGAACGGCACATGAGCACATGCGTATGCATGGAAAGGCACATACAGTATGATGCATACTCCCCTATCTTTTCACCGTGATACCTGAGGAAATGTACACATGCGCACATTTACATACATATGAAACCCTGCACACAGACTCACACAAGCTCTTATCTTCAGTGTATCCTTGAGGGAGAAGTCCTCCAGCTTCCAGTGTCATATCAGAGCAAAGAAAGGTGGACAAAATCTGAAAACAACATGTCTCTGAAGAAAGAGGGAGATAACTAGGGGTGAAAAAGGGATAAAACAAAAACTCCAATCCCTGAAAGGAGGCTAATGTATATATCACGGGAGAGGGGTGACCACTGAGACAACAGATAAGATGTGTGTTTGTGTGGTAGAGAGGAGACTTGTGCAAATCTTCAGGAAAAGAATCTAAAATAAAGGTCAATTCAAGCAAACTGCAAACTTAATGAGTGTGCTTCATTTATGAAATTTTCCATTCATATTATTAAGTTTTTGTCTTACTTCTATTTGGGGGATAATCATGCTCTAGGTTTTAGAACAACAGTGTCCAGTCATGCTTCAGGGTTGTAAACAGGAAGTACAATGTTGTCATGCATTTGGTGAGTTACGCCATGGGCTACAACTTCAGCCTTGTTTTTCTGGCTTATAATTGTTTACATTTTAGCAAGGTAGCACTATTAACAGTGTGCTGAATCAGCTATTAGCAGTTCCTGTTAGCGATGTGTCGATGGACGCACAAATAACTATCACTGGATTACTCTGACACTGAAGAAAGCTTAAAAATGTGATGATTCTTAGGGCAAATTTCGGAGTTTTAGGGAGCTTATAAGCTTTAGAAGCAGATTAATGGACATTAATTCATAGTGATCTAAAAAAAATATGTGTATCATATCTACAGTATATGTTTAAATTTGACTGATTTTCCATTTATTGGTCCATCTACATCCCAACCCTCACCTATGGTCATGAGCTCTGGGTAATGACTGAAAGGATGAGACTGCGAATACAGTGCCCTCCAAAAGTATTGGAACAGTGAGGCCAATTCGTTTACTTTTGTTGTAGACTGAAAACATTTGGGTTTGACATCAAAAGATGAATATGACACAAGAGATCAACATTTCAGCTTTTATTTCCAGGTATTTACATCTGGATCTGACACACAACTTAGAAGATAGCATTATTTGTAATGGAACACAAAATTTTTAGGTGAGGAAAAGTATTGGAACATATAAACTTAAAATAGATTAAAGTGAAAGAGACTTAATATTTAGTTGCAAATCCTTTGCTTTCAATAACTGCATCAAGCCTGTGACCCACTGACATCACCAAACTTTTGCATTCTTCTTCTGTGATGCATTTCCAGGCTTTCACCGCAGCCTCTTTCAGTTGTTGTTTGTTTTGGGGGGTTACTCCCTTCAGTCTCCTCTTCAGCAGGTAAAATGCATGCTCTATTGGGTTTAAGTCTGGAGACTGACTTGGCCAGTCTAAAACCTTCCACTTCTTGCCCCTGATGAACTCCTTTGTTGTTTTGGCAGTGTGTTTTGGGTCGTTATCTTGCTGCATGATGAAGGATCTCCCAATCAGTTTGGCTGCATCTTTCTTTAAATTAGCAGACAAAATGTTTCTGTAGACTTCTGAGTTCATTTTGCTGCTGCCATCATGTGTTACATCATCAATGAAGATGAAAGAGCCCGTCCCAGAAGAAGCCATGCAAGCCCAAGCCATGACATTACCTCCACCGTGTTTCACAGATGAGCTTGTATGTTTGGGATCATGAGCAGATCCTTTCTTTCTCCAAACTTTCGCCTTTCCATCACTTTGGAAAAAGTTAATCTTTGTCTCATCAGTCCATAAAACTTTTTCCCAGAATTTTTGAGGCTCATCTCTGTACCTTTTGGCAAATTCCAGCCTGGCCTTCCTATTCTTCTTGCTAATGAGTGGTTTGCATCTTCTGGTGTAGCCTCTGTACTTTTGTTCATGAAGTCTTCTGCGAACAGTAGATTGTGATACCTTCACTCCTGCCCTCTGGAGGTTGTTGCTGATGTCACTAACAGTTGTTTTAGGGTCTTTCTTTACAGCTCTCACAATGTTTCTGTCATCAACTGCTGATGTTTTCCTTGGTCTACCTGTTCGACGTCTGTTGCTTAGTACACCAGTAGTTTCTTTCTTCTTCAGGACATTCCAAATGGTTGTACTGGCTATGGCCAATGTTTGTGCAATGGCTCTGATTGATTGTCCATCTTCTCTCAGATTCACAATTGCTTCTTTTTCACCCATAGACAGCTCTCTGGTTTTCATGTTGGTTCCACTTCTAAATGCAGTCTGCACAGGCAAAACCTATCGTACCCAATCTGAAACTGAGCTCAGACATTCAGTGCTATTTATTGTTTGAATAATCAATGTAATTGGGAGACACCTGGGCAACAAAACACACCTGTCAGTCACATGTTCCAATACTTTTGCTCTCATGAAAAATGGGTGGGTTCAAACAAAAGGTGCTATCTTCTAAGTTGTGTATCAGATCCAGATGTAAATACCTGGAAATAAAAGCTGAAATGTTGATCTCTTGTCCCATATTCATCTTTTGATGTCAAACCCAAATATTTTCAGCCTACAACAAAAATAAAGGAATTGGCCTCACTGTTCCAATACTTTTGGAGGGCACTGTATGAGGGGAAATGAGTTTCCTCTGATGGGTGGCTTGGCTCAGCCTTAGAGATAGGGTAAGGAGCTCGGACATCCGGAGGGTGCTCGGAGTACAGCCACTGCTCCTTCGTGTCGAAAGGGGTCAGCTGAGGTGGTTCGGGCATCTGATCAGGATGCCTCCTGTCAGAGGTGTTCCGGGCATGTCCAACTGGTACGAGGCCCCAGGGCAGACCCAGAACACACTGGAGGGATAACATATCTCATTTGGCCTGAGAACACTTGGGGGATCCCCCAGGAGGAGCTGGAAAGCGTTGCTGGGGAGACTGACGTCTGGAGTACTTTGCTCAGCCTGCTGTCTCTGCAACCCAGCCTCGGATAAGCGGTTGAAAATGGATGCGTGACTAAGTTATGACTAAGAAGAAGCAGCTATTGGACACTAAAGGTTTCAACGTATCTTAACTGCCTCCATGAGTCATTTGTCAAAGCCACAGCTGCTGCAACTGTTTGCCATGTTGGTGGGCGGGCCAAATCAGTAAGCCAAATTAAAATAACTGACTTTGCACTATTTTCAGATCACCAACATGCACCTGCCCATTTCACATCACGTAGTACCTTCGCCTGGTGTTATCCAAGATATTGGAAAGGATGCTGACCCAATAAAACACAGTTAATCAGTGAGCAGCTTTGCAATCCTTATCATTAATGTTGCTTGTCTCCTTTTAATGACACTAGAAAATCCTTAAGATTTTTTATTCTGGTGGTTATCAATGTTTTTTTACTTTTACACCACAGGCTATACCTGTAATTACAGTAATAAACAGTTGTGGGCATTACTGTTGTATTTAACTGGAAGTCAAGAGTGGCTAACTAGTGTATCCTGCACTTTCAACAGCTACTGGTGACACAGCACAGAAAAATGTTGATTTAAGAGTTATTTCTGTACAACTCATACAGCTGCATCAGTGCTTGTCACTGTTTTTCTGCCGCTACTTTTCATGAATGTGTCTAGGTAGCTATTTATGCAGCAAGATGATACTCCCACTCTTAATAATGCCTACAGAGGTCTGATTGACAATTGTTTCTCTAAGCAGAGAAAATAAGCTGTCAAAGGGCACAACATCAGACATGCTATATTTTTGTGGCGTGTTCTGTGGGGTGTAAACATTGTAGCCTCTCACCTGGGGGCTCTACTGTAGGCGTCACTAGTGGGGCTTAGTCATGTTCTTGTCAAGTTTCACTGTCTGTCACTCTATTTTGGTGGGTTTGTTGAGGACCTAAGGCATTACTGAACTTGACCCGCTGAGAAGAGAAAGAGAGGGGACGAGC